GCGGGTTGAGCCGGACGGCACGCGCGTAGAGCGCCTCGTTGAGCGGCTTGTCGTGCAGCGCCGCCACCGCGAGGACAATGCCTACCCCCAGCAGCAACCACGACCCGAGTCACGCCTGTCCGAGGTCAGGACTCCGCGCCATACCGCGAGGAGAAGGGCGCACACCGCGCAGCGGGCCGCTCCTCTGCGCGACGCCTGCAGGACGCGTGTCGGGACATGTACATGTCGTGGACGTGTCGTGGATATGCCGGGCTCCGCTCCTCTGCGCAGCTACCGAGCCCGGCGCCGCCTCTCTCTCCCCATATCTCCCCATATCTCCCCATATCTCCCCATATCTCCCCATATCTCCCACACCGAAGCCGGCGCCAGCCATGGTAATCTCGGGTACTCTCGGGTAGTCTCGAAGATGCACCGAGCCCGGCGCCGCCCTGCGCAGGCGGCGAGGCCAAGATGTGGCCCACGAGCTCGACGCGCGCCTGTGATCTCCCATGATCTCCCGTGATCTCCCGTGATCTCCCGAGATGTGGCCCACAAGCTCGACGCGCGCCGCTGCGGAGAGAGCCTCCCCAACGCCGACGCCCGAGCTGTCGCCGCCAGCACCTCCGCCCGTGCTTGCACACGCGCCTCCTCCTCCTCCTCCTCCTCCTGCTGCTGCTGCTGCTCCGCCGCCGCCGCCGCCGCCGCCTCCGCCGCCGCCCCCGCCGCCGCCGCCCCGGCCACCGCCGCCTCCCTCGCCGCCCGGCGTGGCGGCCGGCCCTTCGACGGGCGCAAAGTAGTGCAGGCCTAACCAATCAAGAGCCACACCACCTGGTCGACCGGCGACGGCTATGCACGCCGAGGCGCAAGCGCGAGGCGCAGCGCAGGCCTCCGACACGGACGACCCGCGTGGCCGGCTTGGAGTCGACGCCGAAGCGCGCGCCGCCGCCGCTCTCGAGCGAGCGCTCCTCGGTCAGCCACTTCTCAACCGCGAGCCGGTCGCTCTGAACCGCCAGCCGGTCCGCCGCCGCCGTGACAAAGGCGAGCAGGAGCTTGGAGCCGTCGCGGGCGAGGTGCCGCTTGACGCGAAGCGTGAGGCCTGCTCCGCGCATCGCTTCGAGCACCTCCTCCGCCTTTTCGCGGCCCTCCGCCATCCGGCGGTCGCGGGCGACAAAGCGCGAGAGCACCGCGTCACGCCACGACGGAGCTCGAACGCAGATCACGACGACGAACTCGTACCGGAGACGCGAGCGCGGCCGCTCGTTGCTGTCTCGAAGGCGGTCACGCACGGGCGGATCGGTCGACCACGGCAGTCGCATTCCTCGCCTCGCAGGATGGAAAACCAGGTCCGTTCTGTCTCTCTCTCTCCGTTGTGAAGTGTTGGGCGCGCCTACCTCTCGAGGTTCTCGAGGTGGATATCCTTTGGCCGCGTTGGCTAGCGACCTAACCTCTCGATATTGCCCGCCAAAAGAATTCTTACTCCGCGGGGACAGCTCGGGCGACGTCTTCGATTCGGCAGAGGGCTGCGCGCAGGGCGATCCCCTCGGGCCCTTCCTCTTCGCGATTGGATACCACTGGACCCTGTTGGAGATGCAGGTCCGGCATCCGTCCACCCTGATTTGCGCCTTACCTTGATGACACCTACTGTGCCGATGATCCACGGGAATCGTGTGTCCCCCGAGTAGTTAGGCCTGTGTCCTACCCAAAGCATGAAAGAGTTTGGGACAGCTGTGCACGGCGGCTGATGGCAAGCGCCGCCTTTAACCACGCAGAGCCGCCGCCTTTTGCAACGAAGCCCGCCAATGCAGTCGCTCGTCGTCGAGCTCCCGAGGCGCGTGCGCGAGCCAGCACAAAATATGAGGGCGTGGGCTGGGGCCAGCCGCGCCACGCGCGGCCACGTGCACCTCCCGAGCCAACCGCCGCCCCCGCAGCACGACGGCGAGGCGAGCCTCGCAAACGACGCCGAGGGGGCAGAGGTGGCTCTCGCCGGGTGTGCCTCAGCGGCCGCGGGCAAGCAGGGCATGTGCGCGCCACGCGCCGCCGCTCGAGCTGGATCGTACGAGTCTCCCTCCCGCGGCTCGTTGCAGGAGAGCGGGTCGATCCGATGATGCTCGGTGAAGATGCTCGGTTGGCTCTCGCCAAATGTTTGTCCGACTCGACGTACTGCCCCGGGCGTCGGGCCGTGGCGGCGACGGCAGGCGTGCTCCAGCGCCGCCTCGTGCGCACGCACGCGCAGCGGCGGCGCCTCTGCACCACCCGAGTCGCCGCCCGGCCGAGCGAGGAGCAGAGAGACGACGAGTGACATGCTGATTCGGCAATTTTTTTTAAAGAGACTTCGCGGCACTCGCGCGGCTCCCGACTCTATTGGTCCACCAAATATGCCAGACATGTCGCTGGAGCAGCGGCAGCACGCTCTCTGTGCCGCCATTGCACCGCTCGCCGTCGCCTCCCACCTCCTCGGCCTCGGTCTCGGCTACCTGCCTGGCATCGCGATGCCCTCTCACTGCTCCGCTGCTGGTACC